CCCGTTATTTTTGGCTGGATCCGCCTCTGGTATAGAATAGAACTTATGATTAGAACGATAGTACCTATCGTATTTTGGTTTCTTTTATCGCCTATATACTTTCGCTACATAGTTTGTTAAAATATTAATGATAACTGATAAACTGTGACTGCATATTATTCTTTATTTTTTTTTTGTCCTACTCGTCTAATAAATGTAATTTATTATGTATGTTCTTTATACGTATGACCCCGCAGACTAGTTGAACGTTGGCTTAACTCTATTGATCTATAAAATCAGTGAAAAATTAACCAGGCGCTCGACGTAATATGGTCTGTATATATTGATTGGCCTCGAATAACACACAACTTCTGAAAATTGTATAAATAATTCCTGTAAATTTATTATCATTAGTTTAATAATCAAAATATGACMTACATACTAGGTTATTATGTGATGTCRTATTGTAATTATAATGTACGAACGATGACGATCGCCAAGATGGATAAAGGTTACCTAACATAGTAAAATATTATAAATTATGACCGAATTATGATGATGTGCATAACATTACATTTATTTCATGTGGAAGTTACATTCATTTATTGTAAATACAATTAAATGCGACAACACACACACGGCAATGGCAATATAATAATAATAAAGATAAATATATTATTCTATTGCGCGAACAACATAATAATATCACACATAACACAATATAATAATAAAATAACACGTTAAAATATCTATAAAAGAAAAAAAAATAGTCTAGCAAATATAAAATATTATAATATGACATAATTGTATACAATTGAAATAAATACGGAGATGACCACAGTGGTATAGTTTTCAGGTCAGTTTTCGTTCACGTTTGACCGTTTGCGAAGATTGTCCGAATTCGGGCTCCGAGCACTCTCGTAACCATCTCGGGTGTCTACTCCACCGACACCTCCACCTCCTCCACAACCCATGGCACGAGTTCTCTTGGCAGCCGCAGATTCACCACCACATATGTCAATGTTGGGTATGAACAGTCGCAGAGCGTTCGGTCCTGTCGGAAACTCAGTCGCGGTAAGCTGGTCAGTCGTCGTGTGGGCGATCCCGAGTTTGGCGACTGGGTTCATGGTTACCTCCAGCGAACGTTTGGTCACTACTTCCTGGTGCGTGTCGAACGCCTTCACAAGCTGGGCTACCGAAAACCTACGGTGGACATAAGACAGAAAACGTGTCACGGTCAGTTGTTTATTAGACATTTTAACACAATATAGTTATATTTTTTAATAATATGCTAATACCTATATAATAGTGTACTATATACAATTAATAAGTTTATGCGCAGGTTTCGCACTGTCAGGAAAAAATATTCCCATTCCTGCCTTACTGGGAATACCCGATAACACAAAAAACTGTTAAAAATTAAATTGTCTGAAATTATTTTTTGTTATTATAGGCCAGCGTTTTTTGATATACTCAGCCCACGAGGAGCATGTATAACAAGATTAAGTAATACCCATATATATGTTATCTCAAAACAAGTGCGTATACCATAGTTTCTTAATTAGAGTGAATTGACTTCTAATAAAATTTAAAGGTGAGAATATTATTTGATCTCATGGGCTTTTTATTTTATTTTAATTTTGAAGCGAATTATAACTCGCTTCAACATTAAAAATAAATTGTGAGTGGTCCGCAATTAAAMTTGATTTTTGCTCTAAAATATATCATCAGGTTAACTAATATATCAAACACTTTTTAAGAGTAAATAAATTAAAATAACATTTTTTAGAGTATAAGAACATATAATTATTAACATTCGAAATGTAATTAGGAATTAATATGCGTGTGTGTGTGTGTGTGGGGAGGGGAGAAATATCTAACGAAGATCCGTTTTATTTTCAAGTCAATAAAGTATATTAATTCCAGGAATTTCTGTGAAATTATGTTATCGACAATCGTACATGTCTAGTTTTATATAGTAGCTAGTAGGTACTAAGCGTCATTGTCAGATTTTTACAGAAGGCCATGATGGTAATCTTAAAGTTATATCACGGAAACGTCTTTCGGGCATTTTCATCAAACTGTAAACGTAACGAGACTTTATATTAAAATTTTTTTGTTTTCATGACACCCGCACTAACATTTTATAGTCGTTGTATCATGCGTACATTAATAAATTATTCGTCCTGCAGTATGATGGTTAAACGCTCGAAAAACAAATTAATTTCAGTTTTATTCAGAAGGTAGGTATGTACTTATTTTTAAACATCAACGTCTAATTTTCTAGAACCTTGACATATTCAATTGCGCCTTATGATAGACCGTATGAAAGTGTTGGTTTTATTCGTTCGTATAACAACAATATAATTTTGAAGTTTTTAATGGGTTTTATATTATGAGCATTTAACTGTCCAGTTTTTCTTAGAACTCTTTAACCGTTAAAATTTAATGAAATATGAAAAACTATATTGTGTTGAGAAAAATATAGTTTTTGGACTCCGGTTTTTTTCTGAGTGCCAAAATTAACTCGATGGATTATAATAGTTACTACAGTTTTTGGTTATAGGTTAGAACACGAATTTAAAATCAAAAACCTTGCACGTTTCACGTGGGATGGCGGTAAAAGCGTTATTTACTTTCAATTTATAACTCGTCTATTCCATCATATAACATCATACGTATGATGCATATATAAGTAACGAATATAAAGTTTACCGTCGACACTCGACTTTAGAAAGTAGGGTGGGTGCTCATCGACGGTATCTGAAATCAATATTTAAGAATATAAATCGATTCCGCACTATCATCCGCCAGTTTCTTAAATCGTAATTACAACAATTTAAGTTTTTTCTTCATCGAACACTTTCGAAAAAACAATCGCGATCATACGTAACGATATCGTTTTAATAATACGACATAATATTATATTATACTACGATGTACATATATTACAATAATATTAATATAATTATTATGTTATGGAACTATAGGTAATATTCCATTGACGTACAATTGTTTTCTATATTATTATTATTATTTATTTTATTAGTTTATTACTAATGGATGGGAGGGATAATTTTGAAAGTGGAGCATTTGTGATATGAAACATAACRATGGTCTATTTATTTGTATAAATATGCTGAATCTAATATTTCTATGAGGAAAAATATAATATATTGGCAGTAGCAGTGATTGATGGAAGGACGACCGAAAAATACAAAAGCTCATAATTTTAATGATCTGCAACGAAGTTGACATATACCATTTTACATTTCTATACTTATGGTATTCTCAAACGGACTATAATTATATTTGAAAGGACCAATTAAAGGTCGAGCTTATCAAAATTTAATATTTAGTTAAATAATATTTTAGAAAAAAAAATATTTTATAGATATTGAAAAAAAATAAGGTATGCGCTCAAGATAATATATAATATTCTATTGCTCATTTATATTTTATTGAATCCTATAAAAATTCGTTGGATTATCGAGTGTTAGATTTTAGCAAGATATCTGATATTAGACAAGTATATCGCAAAACGTTGTTCGTCAAATTCAACTTTTCCCATGGTAAATGTATATAAGCAGCTTCCGACACCGCACTCGTACGGATGACTACGTCACGACGACCAGTTGATGATGTTGGCCAGTGGGCCGTTAATAGAGTGGGTACCTATATTTACCATATTAGTAAGTATAAAGACGTGTTTTTATGTAAGTCTGTATCGTAGGAGGCAAAATATGCAAAAAATATAGTTTTAACATTTTCATTTTCAATAAAAATCACGTGACTATTAACAAAAATAAAATATGTACCTAAATGTAAACATTTCACCGTCAAAGTATGATACTATAGTTTTTAGATTTAGAGATAGAGAATTTTAATATTTCATACATTTTGTTATAAAATTATATTTTAGGGTGTTTTTTCGTCTTCCGATTACATGTGGATATACCCCCCGTCATTGCAATGGATCATAGTTGCTAACAGTGACCTAGTAAGTTGCGAGCTAATTTTTTGGTTTTCTATACAGCTATAGAGCCTATATTTTCGTTTTGAATTAGTACGTTTTTCCTGCAGTGTCTCGGACGAATCTATGCTAGTATGAAATAGGTCTGCGTCTAGACGGCGCCGTCCTATATGCTGTGTCAAAAGTAATAAAACTTATTATCGCAACAATTGGAAGCGGTATAATGGCGATTTAATGCGTTTAATATCATTATTTAAATTACTTAAATTTATGTAAATATGTATAGATTTAAATCCAACGTAAATTGATAGTATTAATTGAATTTTATCTGAAAATGCAATTTAGCAGATTTAATTATTATCTCAATTATTACCTGGGCTCTTCGTCGGAATGGTAAAAGTGTTCTACACTGCTGGCGCCGCTCGTACTACTGCCGGCAGGAGACCCGGACCGTGGTGCATACTCTGGCGTTGAGGTTACCACGGTCGTGGTGGTTGCAGTCGTAGGGATGGTGTATTTGATGGATTCCGCAGTATTGGTGTCGACAGGAGTGATGGCGTTTGTGTTGGTTGTGTTAAATATTGTGGTGGTGGCTGTGGCAGCCGTGTCGGTGTCGCGATCGCCGTTTCTCGTTGTGAAATTTTCCTTGTCATCCTCGGACACCAAACCTTCGGATATATGGCTCTGAGACACGGATATATTGGCGGTGGACGAGCACAACGAGTTAGGAAGCGTAGATACACCTGTAAGACTCATCAGCAGGCTGCCGACTGTGGCTATTTTGTCCACTTCGCTCAGGTCTTTGATGCTCTTGCACATGTCTAGCACGTCCTGAGACCGGGACAGGCTCTTGAGACCGTACAACTTCTCCTTGGACTTGCTAAACGTTCGTGTGCCATTCCGTGACCGAGACACCAGTGACGTGTGGCTCTCGCACATCCGACTGGATGCGTACTGTGACTCGTGCAACATGGATGACTTCTTCATGTCACTCTCCCTCATGTGCTTCGACACGATCCGCTCGAAAAGCGCCTCCCGTGACTTGGACAGGTAAGAGGGTTGCAGACCACCACCGCTACGTCTACCACCGATCGATGGGGTGATACCTGCACACGTATTGCAACCAGTGCGTCTTGCGACCGATGGCTGTTGGTGGTGTTGATGGGGCTGCTGTTGTTGGTGGTAGTTTTGTTGGTGATGCTGGTGGTTATGCACCGAATGGCTACTGCCGGACGAAGACTTGCGGAGGTTTGCCAGCCATGGGTGTTTTAAACACTCTTTGGCTGTTAGCCTCTCCCTGGGATCTTTGACCAACAGCTTGCGAATGAAGTCGACCGCCTCCTCTGAAACGTCCTCGAAAAGCTCATCCGGGAAGTCGATGTCCGCATTTGATATGTTACAGAACGTCTCCTGGTCCGTGTCGCCGCCGAACGGACTGAATCCCGTCAACAGTGCGTAAGTAGTCACACCCAGCGACCTTCAACAATACATGAATTAATTATTCGTACTGCTGTTTCACAAATAAATCAAGATAATGTCAAGATTCGAAAAATAAATTATCGTTAATGTTTAATAACGGATAGTGGGATTAATCTGTAGCTTAATCGAGACTTGTGAATATAAGTTCTTACACAACACCTAGCAAGTAAAAAATATATGTTAGTTATAAACCTAACTATGTAAAAATTTACATACATATTATGTATGTTTTTCATGGCAAAAAAAATATACTTATGTTATTTATTAAATATAAAAATAAGATGTGTAAGTTCCTACATATAGGGGGTATGGTAAAAAAAATTCAGAATTTGGAATTTCTAACCAGTGACAAGTTATATAACATAATTTAATTATTATTTGTTGGTTTTCAGAATTTTTTTGACGTTCATATATTATTATGATTGTATAAAAAACAAAGATTACAGGACTTATCAGACCTACTCGCATCACCTCTTTTATTGCATCCTGCAAGATTTTCCGTTTTAATAAGTAAACAAAATATTTGTGAAGATCTCCAAAACACGTATTCTAGGGAATGAACAAGGCCATTACCTAACAATGATATCCTAAATATACTTCTATAGTAGAAGCGAACTACTCACCACATGTCTGCAGCCAACGTGATTGGTTCGTAATGAAGTATCTCTGGAGCTAAAAACACAAATTCTGATTAAATTTATATTTGAACTACTTTTCCTAACACACTGTATTTTATAGCGAATACATTTTTCAGAAATCGTTTCTAAAATGGTTTACTTACCGACGTAGTCGGGTGTGCCAAGGATTTCTCGGATTTCTGTACCCTCCAGGATCACTCGGGATATTTCAAAATCACAAAGCTTGACGTCGCAAGTTGGAAACGCACCCATTAATACCAAATTTTGCGGCTGTGAAAATCGAAAATGTTAATCATTACGTTCCAACATAATATTTTTTACTCAGGATTGAAATTACTGTAAGTGTGTCATTAATAGTATAATAATATGGTAAATATTTTTGCAGTCGGTCACGAATTAAATTTATGATATATCACCCATATTAGCATACTCGGCCTTAACAATACGAACGCCGAACACGAAACGGCATATCAATATGACAATATAAATAATATATGATGTTAATTCGATATTAATAATAATGGACGATATTATGGATTTCCTGCTGGTCGGGGTTGGTCCTTGATCCAGGATTATAATACATCGCGATATCGATCTCTAGAGTCTATATGGAATCTAGATCGTGACGACCGCTACGTCCGTTCGTTTGTTCGTGGGTGGCCTAATGGATTTTAAAGCACGTGTATACCGCACATACGCACACCTCATTTGGACCTGGACCGTTCCAGGAAACCAACGTGTCACCAATGCCATAATTTTTACGGATTATTTAATTCTTTTTTTGGATAAATATGTTGAAAAAACCTTGGCGTGAGTTAAGCCAYCGTACTCACTTTAATGTCTAAGTGTGCGATTTTTCGCTGGTGCATGTACGCCAATCCTTCGACCACGTGGTGTATGAACTTGACAACGTCGGCTTCAAATGGCACGTTGTCGTCATCGATGACTTTCTGCAGATCACCTCCCGGAGCGCTAAAAACAGAAATCGTTCATTTATACCAGTGCCGTAATAACAACAACAGTAATAKTTGAATAATAGTTATGAAAAATAAAATATCATATCATCCGCACTATTCCATGACGATGATCAGTTGTTTGGGCGTTTGAAATACATCGTGCAGTTTGGTTATCCGTGGCGACGGCGAACACAACGACAGCAAAGCTATTTCATGATGGATGTCGGGACTGCAGTCTTCGCCGAATCTAGTGCGGTTTGAAAATTTGGCCGCAAACACTTCTCCCGTTTCGATCGAAGTGCATCGCCTGACTGAAGCGAATTGACCCCTATAAAATAAAACGAAAACGAAATTGTTATTAATGTTTAAACAAAATTCACATATTATCTACATTACAACGAAAATTAATAATATATATATATATATTTAATAGGTATCAAATATTAATTGGCCGGATAACGCGTACTGTTTTTAAATTCAATATAGATGTAACCTGGCATGTTCTAACATTGTAAACGTATCCACCGTGCGTACAAAAACGATTAGCCATTATTTCGTTAATGTCCTATTGATTTGTAAAGCCATAATCCATAAGTAACTCGACGAGTTTGAGCTGTAGGGTGAGTTGTTTTTCTTTCACTACACGTCGCATTATTATATTAAATAACGTTCGTGACACAAATATTTAAAAAAAAAAAAAAATACTCACGCACACGCTCGTATGGTCGCGGCGTTGAAAAGCATTACAATAATTATAATAAAAGCGATTTGAAGAAGATTCGCGACAATTTTTTTATGGTTCGTAATGTCTACGGCGGCCTACGCATACGTACAGCAGTTACCAAGAATCCCGTGATCGGCCAAGACCAAGGACGACGATATAATAATAAAAATATAATGACAACACGCGTCGTACACTAAACAATGCACATAAGTACGCGTCGCAAACATTTTTAATGATCGTCCGAGAAAGTATTATTAAAGAGTACCTATATTATAATATAATGTGCGTACCTACCTATATATAAGAGAATCGTACGATATATTGATATTCGTTTGTCGGATGATTATTTTGTAAGGCTAAAAATACCCAACATTTGATTGTAACCATATTATTCAATTATATTTTTTTTTAACGAAACGTAATAAATTAATCTATATTAAGGCAGTGATGAATTTGATTTTAATAATTTTATATACCCATCTATAGTTAAAATTGGTATTCAATTTTAATACATTTTGGATAATCCGGAAAATTTTTTATTTTTTTCCTCCTAGGAATCTAAAAAAGTTTTAATTAATTTTTTTGTTTAGATGTTTGATTATAATAGCTTATTAATATATTACACTCGTTTATTGATCATATTTGTATCATGTTGAATGTTATGACCAGATAATCAGTATCCTAATATTCGTCATCATGACGCACGTATTATAAAATATCAAAAACTGCTGCTCTTCGATGATTCATAATAATATTGGATGATGAAGTCGGTCTGGAGTGCAAATACAATTTTCTAGCCAAAAAATTCGGATGACTGGATAAGTGCAAGTGGCCCAAAAATAAATTATTCCGATATTTTTTGTTTTGTTTAATAAATCATATTTTATGTTCGCAGAATCGTCCAGCCTTACTCTACCTCCCATAAACTATTAATTTTTTATACCGGCAGATAATATCTTTATATGTAGATATGATCGGACGACGAGATCGCGTGCGTTCGCGATTTACGACGTGGCGCCGTGCCAAAGACCTACGTAGGTGTTATGCGCCGAGGTAGAAATTCGTGATATTTTATCGCGAACGCCCAAAATTTTCCTGGGTGGGATCGTCATTGTATTATCATTTATTCATTTTATCGTGCGGTTTAAGTGACCACTGCATAACATTACAGTATAGGTATATCTACATGGTAATTTATTCTTGATTTCGTATGAAAGAATAATCTCGCGTTTAGGTCAGAAATGCCGAGATTACAAAATATTTTTATGCTCAAGATGTACAGTCTACACTCTACAAATAACTTCCTGGGGAAGTATATACACATTTCGTACTGCAGAATCATATATCGAGGTTCATTGTGTCGTAATCGTGGGGTGTCAGGGTAATAACACACATTGGCCTTTTTAAGCTGCTAAAAATAAATAAATCRCTTGATGTTCTAATTTACTTTCCTACCAATTATTTCTAGAAGTTCTAATATGAGCTAACGATTGGAAGTGACCACGGTGAGCGGACGATGACGGACCATCTTTATAGTCATAATTCAACTTTATTTTTAATGCATGGATTATGAAAACACGATTTTTTTATCATGTCTAATGCTTGTCTTAGACTCCATTGTTTTATAACACCCTTGAGGATATTTTTGACGTGCATTAAAAAATGATGAATAAAACGCTAATGGGTGTTATRATATTTCATAAATTGTCTGAAAAAAAATTTAATTATCTTCCATAACCTAGCCCAAATTTCATCAGCGCTTAAGCGGTATACAATTAGATCACTAACTGATGTGGATACATGCTGTCATGCTGAAACCCATTTAGAAATTATGAGCGGTGGATTACATAATGTTATTGTTACRGGTTTAAATGGGTGTACGGCGTACACATTATTATAACTCTAAATAATATACCTACATAAATTATGATCACCATACTTTACGCCAATCGAATTAAATCATGATTAATTTTATACCTATTAATTTGAATATTATTATATTTTGGTGCTTGAGATTRCATGACATCGGATAAGAACGACTTATTTAATTGTTTATTATCTCAGTTCTTATTTTAATAATATAATTATTAATTATAATATAAAAATCCGAATACTATTAGGTACAATGTTGAAGCAATATAATGTTTTATACGTATTATTGCAGCGTTCGTAACTCAACGTTTTGATGTCCCTCGTCATATATTAAATCAATACAAACAGAGTTATAATTAGCTTGTTAAAAATTGTCGAGCTTGTTATCAATAAAAAATATAAATTTTAATAATGTGACTAAAAAGTACAATTTTGAAATTAAATACATTATACTCACAAGCTGATTTGRTAAAAAATGTTTGATTGTCACATTCCACGGTTATTCATATCATAGCATCCAATTTTATGTAAGTATTAAATRAAACTATATTGCACACATTTATTTTGAATGCACYAACATTGAAATAGAGTCTATCGGTATAATAATATTCCAAGCACACAAAGTACAAATTTAAAACCGTTTACAGATTAGTAGTAATTTGCTTAGTGCAATACTCCTTTTTCTTCAATTTATTCCGTTTCTTTATAGTATAATAATATATCTAAGTGACAATATTAACATAAATCTATACTGCGTAGTTCTAATTTTCAATGTTATAAATTATAATTTACAGCCGGTACAGCAGCAAWATTACAGTGGGAGGACCTAATTGATGTCAAGTATATATAATATTATGATGCAAAATGTTATATGCGACCGGTTAATAAGAGGTTTTAATAAATAGATCTTGAATGAAAAAATGTAATAGATAATACCAAAATTAAAGAGAAAAAATTGTTGAAATGCCAAAAACTGTAACGAATGTATATATATCAATGTACTATATTATATCATAGGTACTATCGTTACTCGTATTATGGTGTACGATTTAATAAGAATATTTAAATTTTAGCCTTTTAGTATGAGCTATAAACATAGAATTATAAAATCTTATTTGTGTTTTTTCTCCTAATAATTTCTAAAAATTAAACCGTAAAACAGTAAGACACTATAAAGACGCAGAATAACGCGACGTATAAGGTTGCGACTACTTCCACCGGATCTCGGTCACTCGTTTAGTAACATTTGGTACGATTCAACGCTCGTAATTCATTTTAGATTTGACGTAAATCCATTTACGGTGTCGTCCGAAATTCTATATAAATTCGGACGTTGTGTATAATGTATTAATAAATATTCAGACACGCACAATTTTATTAATCGATCGGTGGGCGGGAACGTACGCTTAATTTTCGCAAGTCAATWTTGTTGTCCTATTCAAACGGTTTCAAATCGAAATTTCGCGAAACGTGGCCACAACAACAACGATAACGATATAGGTGATTGTTAACTGTCACATATAAAGGTATACCTTATATTATAATTTATAGTATAATTTTTAATTTACTATATAGACAAAGCTGTACGCCTGTATATAAACGAATAATAATAAAATAATCAGTTCAAGTTCATTATTATATCGTAAAATAGGTCGTAAAAGCAGTTACGAGAACAAAACTGAATTGATTTATGTCTAAAATAAATTTGTTTTAACAACATTTAACACATTTACAACGTAAAATAATATTAAGTCGTGTCGGTTCGATCGATATTAAATTTTGGATGGGCGTTTGGAAGACATTTGCTTTTCTTACAAACATATCTAAATTGTAATTGTTACTGTTGCAGACTCAATTATAAATGTACCATTGTTGAACTATATTTTGTATCTAACTTTAAAGCATCGGTTACACATTGATCGTCCACCACATTCGKTAAGTGCGAAATTTCAGTCACGTGTATGGTGTATCTGTAGTATCCATATCTTATTTATGTTCGTAGACGACCACGGTGACCGAGGTTACCACGAATCTTATACCACCATATCCTGCAGGTATATCTCCAGTATATACTATTACAACTTCTAGAGCACTGTAGTCGTATGCACATGATTGTATTGTAGCTGGGTTGCATACGTGGTAATGTGGTATTATACGTATATTATATAGGTATTATATGAAAACAGTTTTGGTGTGCTAACGAACCGGTCGGCCGTCCACAGCTCCTTTTTTATAACATAAAATAATATTGTATATTTATAAATCGGTGACGGTGGACATCACATGTATGATATAATGATGCGTTTRTTGGTGATGGYAGCGGCCCATATTTGTCAGTATTAAGTTCGGYGCGGCGCGGACGACTCTATGAGAGAAATCGTAAATCGCCGTCGCATTATAATGACCAGGCGCATTCACCACGCAGCACACCGATGAGGACTCTCTCGCGCACTGTCCTTTTTTCTCTTCTTTTGAAGTTTACCGCCGGAATTTAATTCTCTCATCGCATACCATGATATAATAATATGAGTTCGCGTTACCTACACCAATATCACAGAAAATGAAAAAAAAAAATATGCGAATTTTCTTCGTGTATCTCGCACGACCACTGGACAACGCGTCGTTGATTCGACTATTATAATATATTTTATTTGTTTATTGTTATTCGTTGTTAAGCATGGATTCTACACTATTGTGAATGTAYGATTGTTCACTTATCATCACCAACGGTA